TACTTCCGAAAGATCGAAATCCTCGAACTCCGCAACGTAGTCCTCGGCTTGCTTCCGTTTTCGACCCATCGCGCAGCGCCAGTGTGGGATCAATAAGGATGAGCACAAGATAACCACTGTCCAAGAGTTCCTGAACTCACGATTGCGTTGACTAAAGCAATCTAGGGTACCGCGATCTTGAAAGCTGGATCCATTCGCGCAAATCGCCGCAGATTAACTTCCAGGTCAATCACCCTCACAAAAAGCAGAAGTGTTCCCGAATCGAAATAGCCCGTAACTTTCCTAAGGTCGCACTAGGGTGCCCTTTGAATGATGGCACAGAGAAAAGAAAACATGCACGTTGCCCTGTTTTCCTCGCTCGAAACGCAACGACACTACGCAGAAAAGAAAGCTGCAAATTTTCGGCGACTATCGGTTTTTACCGCAGTCCGCCAGTGGTCGGCGAGTTGGTGGCGCCATCTGTGAAGCAGCGTAAGAACCGCATGAGGCCAATGAGGCGCCAACAGCGGCAACAATTCAAATTTTGTTTTGGTGTGTCGATGTGTCTGCTTATGGATATACATGTATGAGTGAGCTCAGGTTGAACTCTTAAGCCGGGGTCACACTGCTCATAAATCATGCAAAAGAAAGTCTGCAAACCCAAGTCTCTGGAATATCCGTGGTTCGAATGCCGCGGTCCAAGTTTCTCCTTGAACGCATTACTATGCAGCATTCGAAGCACGGTTCTCGTGGTGACTGCCGTCCGAATCTGTATGCAGACTGTCTTTTGTATGATATATAAGCAGTGTTACCACGACTTCACAGAGCTACGCTTCAGAGGCTTGGTGTCCCTCTGGGCATGCAAGAACACAACCAGCAGAGTGCTGCAAAACTGGCAGCGAGTCTCTTCGGTGCGAACGGTCGTAGTCAAGAAATTGAAAGTCATCTCTGAGCTCTGCATCGAGTTCGGTGTCCAGCTGCTTTCCGTGCGGGATGCACTCTTGTCAAGCGCGACCAGGCTCAATACGGTGGAAGTGCTATGATGCGCCCTTTCTACTGCAGGACGGTTTCCCCTACTCTGGCAGAGTTCCGAGTTTATGTCTGCAGGTGTCTCCTTTTGGCACCATTTCGCCTGTACAAGGTTTCCAGAATGGAAAACAAGCTTCTGCAAGCGGCCCTGACCCTCAGCTGCTCTAGTGTTCATCGTCTACCATTCACATTGACGGTTGTAAACTGCACAGATGAGGGAGGAAATTATGCATTTTGTAGTATGTACACCTTTGAGAGGCCTTGGAGGCGCTGCCCAAGGGGTGGACGAGCTCTTTGGCTCTTCTCCGGCATATATATATATATATATATATATATATATATTAACCTGTTGCATATTGGGAAGGTCCTGAAGAAGTAACGTGGTTTAGTGTGTTTGCTTTGCGACACAATCGTGCTGTCTTTCGACACTAGTCACATATCGACGCAAGTTATAATACATTGTCAATAAATAAAACCTTTGTCCAATTGTGATGGCGGTACTTCTTCAAGAACTCCGTTGGGTAAATTTGCTTGTACTCATGGAGATGTTTTGAAGATGTTTGTTTTGGACATGTTTCCGACTAACCAATTTTGGAGATGTTTCCGACTGAGGCCAAACCTGGATTTTTGTAAGATGTAAAATTAGGGTGGCCAGACGTCCCGTTTGTCTAATTCTGCCGTCCCGTCATTTTTTTTTTTTTTTTTTTCTAAATGAAATTTTGTGTTTTGTTTTCGTGGGAATGTGCGCGCATAATTGAGAAATGAGTTCTAAGCGAGTTGAAGAAATTAAAATAATACATACTATTTTTTATAAAATTAAAACATACTATAAAAATGTTACCTCCCATAAAGTAAATTTAGAGCTCTTTCTGTGGTTCCATCTGTCAAGACGTTCTGTGCACACAAACGCTTGTACGGGGCGCCTTTCTATGTCACTACATTTGGCCGGCTCCGGTTCTGTTTAAAAGTGGAGAAAGGTGTTTGCAAAAATACTCCAAAAGCCGGGAGACGTCATAATTGAAATAAGAGCACCGACTTGACACAACAGAAAAGAACAATTTTATTAGACGCCTGAAGATGTTTCCCATGCGGGAGGCATCTTCAGTAGTTACAAAGCAAATGCAAGGTTCAACCTCAAGTCAACGCTATTTATCACGAATGTCCGTGTAAGCTTCGTGGAGAGGGCCGCGGTTTTTGTTACACACGGATGTGTCCCTGCGAACAAACCACGATTCCAGGAGCTTTCGGGGCCCCCATCTGTCCTCCCTGGGAAACGGAAGAAATGGTCCCGGAAGAAATGGTCCCGGAACAAATGGTCCCGGACCAAACGGTCCCGGAACAAATGGTCCTGGAACTAATGGTCCCAAGTACAAACTAGGAAAAAATGGTCCCAGATAAATAATGTTTATTTTTTGTCCCGGAACCCGGAACCCGAAAATTTGGTCCCGGAACCCGGAACACTTTTTAGTGTTCCGGGTTCCGTGACCATTAGTTCCGAGTTCCGGGTGTTCCGAGTTCCGGGACCATTAGTTCCGGGACCATTTGTTCCGGAACTAATGGTCCCGGAACCATTTTTAGTGTTCCGAGTTCCGGGACCATTAGTTTCGGGACCATTTGTTCCGGGACCATTAGTTCCGGGACCATTAGTTCCTACACCCGTCCTCCCTCGCCAAGGTCGTCGCGGCCGGAAAGTCAGAAGAATGCCCCATTGTCCACGCATGGTCCACCAGTTCAGTCTTCAGTCGCGTCGCGTGGGATGCGTACGTGACGTCACGCTTGTGTTCTTTGGAGTCTGGTATCTCTCCTCCGTCCGGTTTCACCAACGTAGAACGCTGGGCAGTCACTGCAGGGGATCTTGTAGATAACCCCTCTCTGGACGTTCGCCGGGGTTGGGTTCTTTGGTTTAGAAACGGAATTTCCAATAGTTCTGTATGGTTTGAAAACAGTTCGAATGCCAAGGGGCCTCAAAGCGCGACTGAGAGGTTCGGAGACTCCTTTGACATCGCTTATGACCAGAACATCCATTGGGTCAGGACATCCATCGAGTCAAAACATCCAAGAGGTCACGTGACACCAGAGGCAGGACATCCAACGAGTCAAAACATCCATCCGAGTCGAAACATCCATCAAGTCAAAACATCCATCGAGTCAGAACATCCATCCGTGTTTAAACATCCATCGAGTCTAAACATCCATCGAGTCAGAACATCCATCAGAGTCAAAACATCCATCTGATTCAAAGCATTATTATTTAAATTGAAAAAAAAAGAAGAAAAAAAAAAACAATATATATAAATTTTTGCCGGCTCGAGACTGCGAATTTCGCCAAGTGTCAGTTTTGGGGATACACTTGATCAACCAATTTGGTCAATGACCTGGATGTAGGGTTCCTCATTTTCGTGTTTTAGTATTGTCACTGAGTATATTTGGACGTTCGGGGTCAAAATTAGCATTGTAAAGCGGTTGCAAGAGGAAACGGCCCTGTTTTCAGGCTACTTGTCATCTGCAGTCCCGACATTTCAGGATGTCCTTAACGATCTTGACAGAATTACAATCCTACTGTAACATTTGTTCCAATAGTGCTTCCGTGATTTAAAAACTATTTTTTATATACAATTGAGCAAATCCATGTAGAGCGCTTTGTCCAAGAGTAAAACTTAATTAAAAAAAAAAAAAAAAAAACGAAATAAAGGTTCGTTTCTCTCGAAATAACGTTATTGATCACGCCGAACGCGTGGGACAAAAGTGCCTTGAAACAATTCAGACGCTCAACACAAAAATAAAAGCAACTGACTGGCGAGGTGAAATTAATTTCTCTGAAAGGCTTATGTTGCATAATTCACCGACAACAGTGTTTTGGTCCCTCGAGCAATCGCGCAGACTCGGAGCCAGCCCATCGCGCGCTCTACTGCTCCCACCCCGATGTAAAAACAAACTGTTCTCCTTCGCATTAACGCGGCGAAGCAAAATACTTTTTAAACAGAGCCATTCTGTCTTAAAAAATGTTTTACCATCACATTCATTATATCGTCAAAAGTCTTTTACACACGACAGCCCATTCCTTTCAGGCAAAAATACGATAGAACATTCAGCTCGTCAAAATATTCATAAGAGCCATCCGAGGGAAAACATCCATTGAGTCAAAAGATCCATCCGAGTCTAAACATCCATTGAGTCAACACATCCATCGAATCAGAACATCCATCCGAGTCTAAACATCCATGGAGTCGAAACATCCATCGACTCAGAACATCCATCCGAGTAAAAACATCCATCGAGTCAGAACATCCATCGAGACAAAACATCCACGAATGGATGTTTGGCTCGATGGATGTTTTGACGCTTTGGATGTTCTGACTCGGAATCCTCTGACATAGGGGATGCACACTACATTCTTATCTCTTTCCCTTTCGCACGGTTGCACGCTTTGTTTCATTCGGTTTTTGACCTCGTCAACAAAACGCTTTGGGTAGTGACGTTTCATTAAAGCTCCCTGTCAATGAGTCATCTCATTTGCGCCATGGAGCTCGTTAGATGACACGGTACTTGATCTCTGTACAAACGATTGCACTACTGATTTCTTGTGTTGTACTGGCATTCGAACTATTTTCCGAATGTCGAATGTCAACATAGTTACGCCGATATGAAACAGGGTACTACGATTAGTAACGCTGGTGATGGCAATGTAATATAAATGGCATTGCTAGGGCACCCGTGCTCTGATGCAGTTTTCTCGCATTCTTTATATCTTTGTTTTCGCTTTTAATGCACCCCGCGTCGTTTATTTATTTATTATTATTATTTTTTTTTTTTTTTTTTTTTTGGTGAGGGGCCACGCGTAAATAGGTGTTACAGCGGACTGCGGACCGAGCGTCGCTAGGAAGACCACGGCAATCAGCGGGCTGGCCGGAACGCCTGAAGTCTTTACATTTTCGCTCTTCGAAGTTAGGCATGTAGAAGGAATTGTGCACGAAATTTGCGAAAAAACTGACCGGCTGATGAGTCTTCGGCTTCGTAGACCGCCTCTGCGTAAGGTACAAGCTCCTAAAGAAAGAAAACATGCAGTTAGTTTCCTGTTAATCAATTGTTGTGGCAACGCCCATGCAATTTAAAAGCCGGTCAGAAATTCCATGCTTTCCCAATATGTCATAAAGAGCGAATGAGATCCAAGGATCACGCCGTACTGTTGAACCAGATGAGAGAAACAATTCATAACGGTTCCTGGTTAGAGCACCGCGGAAGTTCACTCGTTCACGTTAAAGATCTAGCTGTTCCACGCGTCTCTGGGGGGTCACGCTATGATCATGTGACCGCTTGCTCTGGCTGCGAGTTGGGGCAGTAAACACTGCTCGTTTTTCTTTTTTTTTGTTTTCTTTCTGCGATTTCTATTGTGTGCGGTGAAAGCTCGTTCACACTCTTGCAACCGAGTACGACCGAGAGAGACAAGACCGGTTTTTAATCCTCTTACGACTTCTTAGGACCAGCTCCGCAGCAGCGCACCCGGTCCCAAGACGTCGCAAGAGGCTTCAAAACCGGTCTGGTCTCTCTCGGTTGTACTCGGTCGCATATATGTGAACGGGAAGGGATTCGTAGTAAGCGGTATTTACGATAGAAGAAGGCAACCTGTGCCATTTACATCACTTGTCTTCGAGTAAAACAAATTAAACGGACAGTGTTATACTTATGTATGAAGTGTGACCTCCATCAAACAAAAGGAAGCTTCGTCACTTAATTCCATCAATAAAAAACAAACAAAAAGTCAAACGTTACTAGAAAAAAAAAGTTTCGCAGCCGACAGGATTCGAACCTGTGCGGGGAAACCGCAATGGATTTCGAGTCCATCGCCTTAACCACTCGGCCACGACTGCACGGATTTTTATCGAGCGTAAAACGCAAGCTGAACGAGCGGGATTAACAAAATCAACAAAACAGCCTTTCCCCTTGCTGACTGACTCGAGTGAGTCTATGGTCCATATCGTTTCGTAAACGCACCTTTCGTGGACAACTTTTCGTGCACATATGTTTTATGAACACATGGTACGTTCGTCGACACTGCACGATTCGTGGACACGTGCCCCTGCGACGTTTCGTCAACAACGTATTTTTCCTCTTTTTCTTTTTGGCTGTGTCTACCATAGAGTTATTATAATGTACGCTAGAGGTTCAAATGGCGCTAGTGTCTATGCGACTTCCGTAACGCAAATTGAAGCAGTCAGCAACCAGTCAACTTTTGTGGTGCATCTTGTGCATTCCTATGGGAAAACACGTGTGCATTTTGTCTCTTCGCCGGAAAATAACACGGAACACGTTGGTTATTTAGGTCGTACCGAATAGTACATACTTTGATTAATACTGTAAAAGTGTAATTGCCTTAGTTAGCGCATTTTTCCTCGTCAGTGAACGATGCTTAACTTCGCTACATTTCAGATCAAACGTGTGTTCCGCAGTGTAGTATTTTAAATTTTTCCATTTTAGTAATTGCCACACTAACCAGATGGCGCCACTGACCGCCACACCATATCGCTGTAGCCAGGCGGCGCTACACTTCATCCATTGGGCCGTGCGCCCAGGTGGATCTCCCCCGGGGCGGTTGGCCCCCGGGCTGTTTCCCTCTGAATAAAGCAGAGTGCGTGTTCTGACCTCGACCAATGTAGACGTCCCTTCCTTCCGGGTTGTTCCCGCCTCGGACCCGCCGGTGTTCGCCGCCCCACCTCGGCATGTGAGACAACATCTTTCAGCAGGCCGCCTCGGCGCTGCTTCTTTTCCTTCCTTTTTTTTTTTTTTTTTTTTCCTAAGAGAGGGAAGGATAGGCATTTATTTTTTTTAAGGAAAGGAAAGTGTAGTATTTTAAATTTTTCCATTTTAGTAATTGCCACACTAACCAGATGGCGCCACTGACCGCCACACCATATCGCTGTAGCCAGGCGGCGCTACACTTCATCCATTGGGCCGTGCGCCCAGGTGGATCTCCCCCGGGGCGGTTGGCCCCCGGGCTGTTTCCCTCTGAATAAAGCAGAGTGCGTGTTCTGACCTCGACCAATGTAGACGTCCCTTCCTTCCGGGTTGTTCCCGCCTCGGACCCGCCGGTGTTCGCCGCCCCACCTCGGCATGTGAGACAACATCTTTCAGCAGGCCGCCTCGGCGCTGCTTCTTTTCCTTCCTTTTTTTTTTTTTTTTTTTTCCTAAGAGAGGGAAGGATAGGCATTTATTTTTTTTAAGGAAAGGAAAGTGTAGTATTTTAAATTTTTCCATTTTAGTAATTGCCACACTAACCAGATGGCGCCACTGACCGCCACACCATATCGCTGTAGCCAGGCGGCGCTACACTTCATCCATTGGGCCGTGCGCCCAGGTGGATCTCCCCCGGGGCGGTTGGCCCCCGGGCTGTTTCCCTCTGAATAAAGCAGAGTGCGTGTTCTGACCTCGACCAATGTAGACGTCCCTTCCTTCCGGGTTGTTCCCGCCTCGGACCCGCCGGTGTTCGCCGCCCCACCTCGGCATGTGAGACAACATCTTTCAGCAGGCCGCCTCGGCGCTGCTTCTTTTCCTTCCTTTTTTTTTATTTATTGGGCTCTCCGAATCACAACACGCAGCAGGTGTGTAAAAACAAGCGACGATTCAAAGCAAAATAACAGTCGAAAGGGATATAGAGCGTGTTCAAGACTCGCCAGCACTCCGGTGACGCTTATATATTGCTAATATGCCGGTCTTGTCCCTATATGAAAATGACCCCTTCTTGCATCTTTACGAGCGGTTAAAAACATTTAAAACGTAAAGAACAAACTACATGGGCTATGAAAAGTGTCTCTTTGTATTGTTTTCTCTGCCGGGCAGCTTTTATCGGGCACTTGTTCTCTAAGACTTCGAGCTTTGCTGGTGATATATTTTGAGCGTAGAACAAACATGCACGGGTAGTTACTGATCCTGTGTTACTGCGTAGTTCTTGCTGTCTCCCTTCGTTTTCTATAGATGTCCTTCGTTCGTTTGGCACGTCCCTTATGCTGAAAAGCGCCGACGTCGTGTTCGCGCTAAGTGTCCGACAGTGCACATAAACACATGTTCGAGGCAGGGACCCCGGAACCGGGGGGGCAGCGGGGGCTTGAGCACCCGCTGACATTTTCCAGGGGGTGCTGGGCAATATGCTGAGCCCCCTGCGTTTGACTGGAGGCGTACTGAACAATGCCTGCACTCCTTCCCACCTCCCCTCCGTGTTCCCCTTGCTGCTCAGCTCCGCCAAGCCACGTACTTGGCTAAGGGCAAGCAAGTGGCTCTCTGTTGTTACGGCTGGTTTCCCGCCGACAACACAACCCTCGCCCACAAAATTCCAGATGAAAAATTCGAAGTAAAGCGAATTGTCAGTAAACCGCGGACGACGCGACAGCTTCAAAAAATTTGAAAGAGCGAGAGAGAGAGAAAAAAAAAGAGCCGGCGCCTGGGGCTTGCATGGCACAGTGAGGGAGTCTAGGGTGCCTTCATGTGCGCACATGAAGGACCCTACTCCACACGCGGGTTGGCTATGAGGGGGAACGCACAGCGCACTGTTTTAGTCCACACAGCCAGCCGGCTTCTTCGTGTTGTTTCTATTTTGAGCAACGACGTTTAGCCCAAAATACACAAATTTCTTCTATTTTTTTTCAACGGCGTTTTTTTTTTTTTTTTTTTTTTTGGTTTGGGGGGGGGGGGGGGGGGGGGTCAGAGTAACCGCGAAGGTCGGGTAATTGCTTCCGCGTGGAGAGCCGATCGCGAGGCGGGGAGACGGTCTGCGCGAAAAGAAAGCCCTTCTTGAACGGAGACTGCCTACAGATGTAGCGAGATGAGGGGGAAAAGTTCCCAACTCCCAAGGCAAGAAAAGGCCTTAGCAAGCGACACAGGTTGTAAAGGGAGACATCGCACTGCAGTCTGTGTTGAAGCGCTGCTACCACGGTGGTCGTCGGAGACATCAAAGAATCGAGGCATCTTCGCCGGTATTTCTGCATCTTTGTTTCCGAAACACAATTTTGGGTCTTGATGAGCCAGCCTGCTATGTTCAGGCGGGTGCCCTATTATGCACCCTGACGGTTTCAGCCTATTTTCAAAGACGACCATAAAAACAGGAAACATGCTGAAATAAAAAAGAAAAAAAAAAAGGAATCGCCACTGAAGGTGCTGGAACGAGAGGGATGTTTTTTCCTCGTCTCCCAGAGTCCATCTGCTTCCTCCTCCCCAGCCTTCCTTCTCCTCGCCCTGTCACTTCACTGAAACTGCAGTTGTAGATCTGTCACTGTGAAGTCCGCGAACGGTGTGTTTGGACATCTCAACATCAAAGGATGTACGTTTATTTTTTTTTTTAACGAGCGCAACGCTATGAATACACAGTATTTAAAGTTTTACACTTTTAATCATTATGGCTACCAAAAGGACGCTCCTTGATGCGTGGTTGCGGGGCCCAAGAAATTGGCAGTTTGTCAGGGAAATACCCAAACCTTCGGCACGGCAGCAGCAGACCGTATCATACCAAGAGTCACCCAGAATTTACCAAAAATCTGGTAGGTTTTGTTTCAATTTTGTGTGTGTGCATGCGTAGCAAAGCAAGAGGGAATTGTCGAATCTTAGGTTGCATAAACTGCATTGCAGGGAGTTCACAATGTTCCGTTGTTCTATGAAATAACCGCATAAAACAGTTTTGTAATATATTGCCAAGGTATTTAGCACACAGACGTAGTTAGATGGTGGAAGTAATCAGTAAAATTTCAATAAAATTAGTTCACTAAGCAAAAAAAAAATCTTATTTTTTATTTTTTTTTATTTTGCGTATGGACCCTAAATAATATTTTGGGCCACTCTGGCGTTAATTCTGGCGAAATGAAGGCTATCTTACGTAATATTGTATTTTATTTTGATTCCACCCATTTTTTCAGTCATAATAAACGCCTCAGTTTCCCAGAAAAATGTTTGATAGTTTCGCGAAAATTTGCCCATAAAAAACTGCTTCTTTTGTTTTCCTTTTCTTTCACTAAAAAAAGTTTATTTCTGCATTAAAAAAAAAAAAAGTGAATCCACCTCGTTCGGGAATCTCTGTAGTAAATCGTAACACGCACGTTAACAAGGAAATTTGCGCATACAAAAAATCGCAAGGGTTCAGGCTAGTTGGTGAATATTAACCATGTTGAATAGAAGGGACAGAAAATAGACAGGACGACGTCTTGAGGCCTCGTCCTGTCTATTTTTTGTCCTTTCTATGTTTTGATGTTTCTTCTCTACTCTAGGGAGCCTTCATGAAGGCACTCTACTCTACTCCAGTCTCAGGTTAATTCAACATGGTGAAATTTGCGCGGTCACTTCAAAGGGCTAACGAAACGTCTTACGTGAACTCCCGGTAAAGTATGTCAGATCCCCTAACCGCTTTTGGTGGGCATTGGTTTTAAAAGTCAGACTTGGGGGTTTTACGTGCCAAACCAACGACGGGCACCTGACACGCCCCAGCGGAGGACTGGGGATTCATCTCGACCCCCTTGGGGATCTTTTGACCTTCAACCGAAAGCTCGCTTACACGGTGCCTTCTCTGCAATAAAGCGCGAAACACATGTACGACGAAACCGTCCGATCCGACGTGCGGACTGCCGGAATGACCTTGGGAGGAGAGGGTTTTCGTAGCATCGGAGAGCGTTGAAAACCCTCGCCTCCGACCGTCGTATTGCGCGGTCGGACGTCGGATCGGACGGTTTCGTCGTACATGTGTTTCGCGCTTAAGCCCCCGTCAGATTGCGGGAATTCGAGGCCACCACCCGGGGATCCGTAGGCCGGCGCTTTGCCTCGGAGCCACCGAGACGGCTAGCTTTTCTATTTAATTTCCAAAAGTATTGTTTTGTGGTGACGTGTTCTAAAGAAAGCCGCATTTCTTTTAACGTAGAAAAATAGTTGTGCGTTTGCCTCGGTGTGTCGTAGTTTTATCCCGCTTCAATGACGAAAAAAAAAAAGCTCATTGTTGTAGGGGGCTGCAGCCTCGACCCTAACGTGCACATAAATTCGCATTCGACTAATGTAGATTCTTCATCGCTATCACCCAATAATGAGACTAATGGCTGCCTTTGTCGACTATTTTTTAGTTACCGATATGACCCAAATCGATTAAAAGAGCATATTTAGAGCTCAATGTTGTTTATCCTGTGCAATTTATTGAGCACAGTCTGTAGAATTGATAATAATTATAACAGGCAAAGTGTGTCTTCCGTTAAACCTCGTTGGTGTGGTACACATTTCTGTTTTGTCAAAGCGCTTCTAGATGCTAGCCAATGATCTAAAGCGCAAAGATGTTATCGAGTTCATTAAAAAAGTTAAAAATGCAAAAAAAAAAAAACAAAAAAACGTACGAAAAGCAACAGGTAGTTTACAGACGGCCGCTAACTTTCAACTTCTTTGGCCGTGTGCTTTTTTCGCTTTTAAACCTTTTAATGAACGTGAACCAACTAGACCAATCCAAAAATTTAATTCATGTTATCAAGCTTTTTTTTTTTTTTTGCGGTTCCATTGTAATTAAATGCTGACGACCGCATCCACCGGTGGTAAGCTCGGTCTATATGGCAGAGCGGACTCATTTTTGAAATTTTCAAGATTGTTTGTCAACTTTTTACAAGAACAGAGCTACGCCTAGAAACGTGACAGGACTGCGTCCAGAATTAAAATGCACCTTCGCTGAAAATGCGAGCTCTCTATGTGAAGGCGCCCGATTTTCCAGTGCATTTTACATCGACACGATAGATCGGTGCCACCGTGTAGCTGCTACTATTGGATCCGACTGCGTCAACATTTCATTGCTTCGTGGCAAGAATTTTGGATAATGTAGGGATACACGGTATAAGAAATGATAATTAACCTTCTATAAACAGTGAAATTTTGGTAATAACTGTTTTTTCAATTTACATTTTTTTCAAGGTGAAGTGGAAGGGGGGGGGGGGGGGCCCTTCCACTTCACCCTTTATTTCGACCGTGAGCCCCCCCACGTAAAATACACTTCCGGGGTCGCTGGTTCGAGGCCGTCCAATTATTGTCCAATTATTTCGTCTACCCGACTGAGAAATGTTCCAAGCTATACCTAGTACGTACGAATTAATATTTGCTCTTATAATCGAGCGCAGGGAGAAAATGCACTCACTTTTTCCCATAAAAATGCATTACCGGAAGTCAATTTTCGACTGGTTGCTGTCTGCTTCAATTTGCATCAGCACACTAGCGCCAGTTGAACCTCTAGCGTACATTATAATAACTCTATGGTTGTAACTTGTTTTTATCTTCGGAATAAAAAATAAAATAAAAAAATTGCAGGATTTTTTTTTTTTTTTTTTTATGTCTTAAATTTGAAACGATGTACTATGGCTCGTACAAAGAATTGCAGCTTTGAAGTTCAAACGCAGCGTTGTGAGCCAATTTAGGCATTGGCGTATATTTTCAGCTCCTGATAGTAAAACCTGAGCTGTGTGCTGCAACCAAGGAGGTTAGAAGTACTATACTCTGTTTCATACTTAGTGTGCAACGCTGTTAAAGCTACTGGCACGAGCATGGGGCTTGAAATCGTCGATCATTTGCACGCGTTCTCGCGCAAACAAAACCATAGATGAAGCCACGCGCTCGCGCCAGTAGCTTTGACAGCGTTGCACACTTAGTATGAAACAGAGTATAGGAAGAGGCACGTTGCAAAATTGGTGAAGCCTAGTCATAAAAAGTTTAAACGATTTTGTGCCCAGCGTGACCGCAGATCTCTCTGGCGATTGGTGCGCGTGACATGTCACGTGCGAGATGGATGGTTGATTCTAGGAAGACTCCATGGGGGCTTGCACGCGCTCCGTCCGGTAGGTTTTATCAGATTGAAGGCTAGGCTGTGGTGTATTCTAGTACACCATAGCTAGACGAAAGCTAGCTACGGTCACGAGACGTGATGAGAGTAAGGAGAAAAATGAGAAAGAGGCGAGGCGTCGAGGGAGCATGGCTTGTGGAGGCTACGCGGCCGACGTCATGCCCTCTCCTACCCTTCTATCCTCCTTGGCTGCAACTCGTATCAGTGCATGGCTTGCTCAGCCGTCACATCGGTGGCCAATGTGGTGACTAGCGCCACTAAGTAAGCTACGCTTCACATGTAACGATACTTACCCATCTTGTGGCGTTAAATCATGGTTGCCAGTTATCTGAAGCTTTATCTGAAATCACAGGAAACGCTTTTCCGTCCTTCACAAACGTTTAAACAGTTCGCGACAGAGCAAAGTAGTATCACATAAGCTTTCTACTAACACCGAATCTACTGCCGAGGAAGTCGCACTTTTGAATCATGACGATCGGCTGTTGCGTCTGCTCTGCACAACCACCAAAAAGGCGGCGCCCACAGCAATATCGGGGAACAGAGTGCCGATACTCTAAGCGTAGCCCATTTAGTGGCTCTAGTGGTGACCTTGCTGCTGAGCACGTGAGTAGCTTCGGCAGTTTAGTCCGCATTTCACACAATGGAATTTGTGTTTCTTTCTCGGTAACAAGTACAAACGGCCACCAGCACGATGCGTCACGTGCAAGCATGGTGACTGCTTTTGGGCAAGGCACGTGCCAATGCTAGGGCGCTGGGGCTTATGGCGTACCCTGTGTGCCTGACCAGAATCGTCGGAGCCGTCTAAGAGCCCCGTGACGGCGACCAGTCTCTCCTCGAGCGGCGACAGCGACTTCTTGCCGGCCGAGCCTCGTGCCTTGGTGCGCACGTTGCACTTCCAGTCGAACCAGGTCTGCGGTACAACAACCCGATTACCCATTAATAAAGGTCCGTGTTTTCGGGGAAAAAATCAAATTGAGGGTGTACGTCTTTTTATTTTCCGAGGGTTTTCCCACACCGAGAGTTTTCCAAACTCTCGGTGTGGGACAAATAATCGGTGTTTATCGGGACTTGTGTTGAAGAAAACAGAACACCTGTATGTGATTCCCCAAACTCAGGGGAACATGTGCGTGACGAAAATACTGAAAACACGCCCCAGTACCAATGAAAAAAAAAACAGCTTTGTGGTTGCTGTCTTGGTTCAACGCCAAATAATGTTGAAGACAAAGATTTCTTACCATTAAAGGGATACTACAACGAAATTTCGGCGCTCATTTTTTGGTCTATATGTGTTCAAAAGAGCAGTATCACATGGAACATACCAATATCTTGTTAAAAAAGTCTCGAAAAGGAATTTTAAAACAAATTAAACGATTAGCAAAGAGCACCTGGTGGATGTCGCTAACGCCTCGTTTGTAATGCTCGTCTAGGAACCTTGACAGCTAGTGACGGAGGTTGTCTCGTCTCCGGCCACGACGAGAGAAGGGGGGAAGGAGGAACTCCCCTCTTCCCGAGAATCCCTTTTGTGTGTCGCAGAAGTCGCTATTGTCCCCCTAGAAGATTATAGAAGATTAACCCGTCACTCAAAATTCGTACAAAAGCAGCCGCTTCGGTGGTTGGAACGACTAGGCCATCCTCTCGACGTCAGCCTCGCCGTAGCTTTGCTCGTCTTGAGACGACCTACGTCACGATTGCGTTGGATGTCACGTGCTCTAAGCTGGGCCTTCTCCGAGCGCTTGCCAGAGTGGGCCGTTTATAACGAAAAATACAGCCACCGGGATCAAAATACAAACGTGTGATTGTCATTTACGGATATTGTGGATCATATTCAACCTATTTTTGAACACGACGGGAATATTTCAAATTTCGTTGAAGTATCCCTTTAAGCTGGGGGTTTTTCTTCTTCGATAACATATTCAAATGGGGAGATTTTCGGTTCTCCGAAAACGCGGCACTCTACCCATTAGTCACCCTAATCGATCGTACGCAGCTGCCACTCCAATCCTGACAACTAAAGTTGTCAACCACAACGCGACCCCCGAGAAGGCTGCCACACCAGCTCATTCAAAGACTGTCGGCCTTAATGCAGTTCTCGGCCGTTATGCCCCATTCGGCCTCAAAGCCACCCCGGCCCTTTCGCCCCTCGCCCTTAAAGCACACTCGGCCGTAATGCGACTATCGGCCTTAGCGAGATGCTCCCCACCTTCAAGTAGGTTGCGTTCAGAAAGGCACTCAACGTTGGGGGACGCTTTGTTGGGATTTTGAGAAGTCATCCAGCTTTTAGTTCGTTTCCTGTCCTGTTCTCTGCTTATCAATGCTCGCTTACAGACAGCGTTCGCGAAACCAACAAGTGCCGGACTGACGCAAAAAAAAAAGTCGACGTTTTACTTTTAGCGGGGTGAAATATAAAACGAGGAAAAAAAAGTGCCTTCTTTTTTGTGTCCACTTCTCATCTTCTATTTGTTATTTTCTTGACATTGAAGTCTGCATTGTTGTCGTGTGTCGTTTCCAGTTCTGCGTTGCGCATCGGTATGGCAATCTTTACTTCCGTAAAACCACCCCTTTTGTTTGAGGATTTTCTGGGGGAAACTCCAGGAAACAAAAGGCGTCTTTCGGAAGGCGAGGGAAAACCTTCATTGTACGAATTTTGGGGTTAAATATTAGTCACAATCGGCACAAAACGATGTTTTCACGAGCTCAGTCTAAGTCACCGTAGCCTATCGGAGCTAGCAACAGGATTCGGTTGCTCGAAAGAATTTCACGTTTGCTCGTGCCACGCCTACGCTACCTCATACAGTAAAACTTGAAAAATGGCGGAATGCCAAAAATGTACTTTAGATAATGAGTACAAGATACTCAGAAATGTATTTTAAATAGAGTATCAAATACTCTCGATAAAAAGTATTTGCAAGATACCAAGATACTTCAAAAAGTATTTAAAATACAGTATCTTGAGTAGAGTATTTGAGATAGGCACAAGTCTGGAACTTCCAGCAATAGCCTTTATCATATTTGCTAATACTACCTTCTTCGAACAGGACTGTGCGAGCTATCGATATGTGCGGGCACATATCGCCAGCTATCGATATGTGCGGGCACCAGTGCGCACAGATGAGATTAATGAGGTGCACCCAGAGGTTCCGGAGGCCGATGCTCTGCCCCCCCCCCCCCCCCCCCCCCCCTTAGAAAATTTGGGGGGGAAGGTGGGGGGGAGGGGTGGCGAGTGTTGGGCGACTCCCACCGTAGTCGGCGCCCATGCTCTAGATGCGCACGTCTTATTTTAACCTGCAACAGGATGTAGTTTTTGTTGTGCTCCCCAGGTTTTTCGGAATGATCGGGGCAAGATTAAATTTATTCAAAAGTATGTTGCGTGATGAGTTTGTTTTTAACGATGAGTTTCCACGGGCTGTGCTTCTTCTGAGGGTGCGCACAGCGCCTCGAGTGTTTTGGACTCATGAATTGCGAGGAGCCCGTCGTAGTACAACTAAAGTAATTGACGTAAATGATTACGTTTCAGTGATCTACGCCTCTCATAAAGACGCTTGCCCTTACGAATCCTGTTCCTGCGGACGTGGATGGGCCCGGTCGGTTTCGCACGAGGAGCTCGAATAGCTCGTGTATGGAACTCCGGGGACCAACCGTTCTTGGGATCCCGGATGTCCACGTTGTATAGACTTTGTCAAAAATTAAAAAATCTCGCTAATAAAAAAAAAGAGAAAAGATTTGTGGCAATGACGATAATCCTGTCCTTTTATTAGCCCCAAGATGTTGCGGTGGTGCCCTCTAATGGTTTCCATCCGTGACGGTCACGACCAGCCTTGTCGTGACTCCACGAGTTGTGATCTTAAGCTTATTTGCATCAATTGCGACCGACAAGTTCGATGCTGTGCGTAAAAAAAGCCAGATGAGAGCTTGGAGTCATCGCGTTGCACACCATCAAAGTTCACAGTCCATGACACTGCCCTCGTCTCCCTCGATGACAGCAGAATTGATTCTACTATACTCCGTTTCACCTTATGTTGTACCGCAGACAAGGCTATAAGCGCGAGCTCATAGCGTTGGGAGCTACTCTTAACGCACGAGAGCTTGTGCCGCCGAGATGTGCCCTAGAGCAAGGAGCTCGCGCTTGTAGCCTTTCCTGCGGTACATCATAAGGTGAAACAGAGTATAAAGACGTCACTGCGAGCGTTGAACCAGCCGACCAAAGCGACGCGTCTGGTCGCACACGTCGCTTCCCACTTGGCGGTTCGCTCTTCGTCGTTCGGCTAATGCAGATGTCCCGCAGGCCGCAGGGCGAGATGTTTTTGGAACACTTGCTCGCCCTGCTCGTCGCAGGGTGAGCAGTTGTTCCAAAAAGCGTCACAGCCATGCGCGCGCCATCGTTGCTTCAGGTCGGGGGGTAAACAAAGGCACGTGGGCGGGTTTGGCGGGTAAACAAACGCAGGAGGTGCGCAAGGACACGTTATTTTCAGCAGTGATTAATGGTGACCCCTAGGCCTATGGCCTCAAGGGGAGACAGGAGTCGCTTCAAGGCCGCGCTCTTGATAGACGAAAAGCCGAAACGACGTCCGATCGGTTCGTTGTCTTCTGTCTTCTAGGAGCAAATGAAGGAAAGCGTACGAGGCTTCGAACGTGTGTGCAAATAACTTGTAATTTTTTTTTTTTTTACCTTCAGGAAGATATGCAAGTATAAAAAGATATTGCGCAGCTCTTTCTCAGACACCAAGTTACACTGAAAGCCACTGAAAACATGAAATGCTTTCGTTATGGCACCATGCATGCTTTCATAAAAGGCGTCTCAGCTGAAGTCACTATTTCCATTTAGTGACTCTATATAGTCACAACGATATCGAGCAAAGAGGCAAGCATTCTGTCGCTGAAAGCGACGTATACTGTAGCAAGAGACGCGTTGACACAAGACGTGGAAGTGTGCTTTTGACAATATGCCACGACCCCACGAGGCTGCTGGACCGAGAGACGAAATTAACTTGGTTGTCGGGTAATTATGCAGCAAGTTTCAATTTTTTTTTTTTTTTTTTTTTGAGGGGGGGGGGGGGGGGGCATTTTTTGTAAGGAAGCGTTCCACGCTTTCAAGCGAGAAATCGAGCACCGTCAAGTTCGACCTTGGAGGCGAACGGGCGAGAGCAGGCGAGCTACGTGCTGTGTCAACACAACCTAAGTAAAAAACAAAAACATTTTTGTTTTTTTAGCTATTAACGGTTAGCGCGATTACGTATGGGACACGAGTGTTGTGTCAGAGCTTCGCTGGAACTCAGGTTCTGATCCGACAATAAATTAGGGTTAGGTTAGGAGGCAGTCAGTTCTTGTTAAAGAAAATAAATGGCCAATTTGTTTTCTCTAGATGTGTAGAAATGGAAGATGAGCGTGGAATACATCGTTGCGGTTTCAGTGTCGTTTGAAGCTGTCTGAAACAGTTTGTCAATCAAGCAAGAGAAATAAATATGGCGCCGGTTAGCTGTGTGAGCAACAGACGATTTCTAGTCGTTTGGTTTCTGTCGCTGAAACACAAATAAACGCAAGCTAGCGTTTTTCGCCACTCGAAGAACCTTCCCATTCCAGGTGAGCATCACCAGAACGGGTACAGAAACACGGGGCGTCGGCTGCCCGTGGCGCCACCTGGCGAGCAGCATGTCCTCAATGGGAGCTCAAACCACGTGGGAGAAGCTTTATGGTTCCTCCGACGGTCCGAAGCCGAGTTTTAAAAGGAAAATTCTCAACGACGGAACACTCACTTTCTTCCACTTGTCCTTCTCCTTGGGAACACTCATAAGGTCCGAGTTGAGGCGCTCAGTGAGGACTTGCCAGTGGCGCTCCCTCTCGGTCGACGACGTCGGAATGCGGGAGCTCACCATGCACGGGTTCTTCTCGATATAATCGAGCAGCACCTCGAACTGGCGTACCGACGTACGGGACGCACGACGCCGCGTGCCCGCTGCAACCGCCGGGACGTCCGCCGGCGTCGCCTTCGCCATTTTCTCTTCGAGACGAGACAGCGCCTATTCTTAGCAACCGCGTCGAGACCAACGACGACGACAAACTTGGACCTTCTGCTTTATCGCACGAAACACTCGAGACGTCGCGGGTTAGCGTGCTGTTAAAGTCTAGGGTACGTCTCCCCACCAAAGCAAACAAGCGACGACGGAGTTCGACTACGGCGTGGCAAAAAGCGAACCATAAAGCGAATCGGGCAGCGACGCCCTCCCGCGACCGAGGTCCGAACCCCGGTGACTCCGCCCTCCGTTCGCTAGGAAGGAACCCGGGCCGAGCGCTTGGAAGCCAGCCGCCAACGAGAGCTTCGATTTTCGATAAGCTCGTCGGCGCGGTGGAGGGCGAGTGCTGCGGACGGAGGGCTAACGGCCGCACTTTGTGCGTCCGCGCGCTCTGCATGCGAGCGGCTTGCTACGGAGCGGAGAATCGCCCGACGGCACTGTGTAAGGCGTCGCTTTATGTGCTTGCCCCGAGGCTAAATTTTACGTTTCTTGGAGTGCCTCCCTTCGATGGCTGGAAGGATTCTGTCGAAGAGTTGGAACTTTCAGGTCCATCAGGATTCCTGATGGTACGCAAGGCTCCACCCCCCCCCCCCCCCCCCCCCCTTTCTCTCATTCTCTCCAGTAGGACTGAGTGTTTGGGAGAACAAAATGATCGATAGCTTGAAGCCTATCATGCTTATCACAACACAATGTACGTACTTATAAATCCTTCTGACCTAGAAAGAAACGTAAAGGGAAATCCTAACAGCAACGGATTTAAAAACTCCTTTGATGTTCGAATTCCTTTTTATGTTTATGCCTATTACACGTACATGCTGCGAATCCCTACAGCAGGGTAACGATGTCCAAGCCAAAAACTGCTGCTCGGATAAATAAATAAATAAACGAGAATTGATCGCTGTCGAAGTACGCCCAGTTTGTCCTCATTTATGTCCATGGCTTCTCCAGCTTGACCTCGGGACCCAGAATATTTCGCGGGGGCCTTCTTTGACGATCTGGGAATCCCGAGAACCGCATTTCACCTGATCCGCGCCAGAGCTGGTATAACGCATGACGTTACCATTACGCAGGCGCGACTAAGTGGTGGTACCCCAATTCGCAACTTTCAGCGACGGCGGTACCGCGGTGTAGTGAAGACCAAAACCTCGTACTGCTGTCATACGACAATCACCCGGATGACGGCCATTTTGATAGGCGCCAGTGCGAGCTCCCAATGGCTTTACACGAAAGACATCAAAGGTCATATATGGTATACAGAGCAATGTCACCAATAGAAGACAAGGCCAGTACATGACGTCATCGTTAGTGGACCCCCCGACCCGCACCAAGCGGCAATTAAATTCACGATAAATCTCGGCGAGAGTACGCCGCAAGGCGGTAGACGCGTCCGTCTTGGCGTCGCCGGGTGAGAACGTCGCACTTGTTGTGAGACGCTGTAAGACGCGCTGGTGGCGACGCTGGAGCACGCTATAGGCGGCGCTGCGTGGAACCACTAGTGATGACGTCAGAGGAAGAAAGACGCCGGCCTTTGTCTTCTATAGGTGGCATTGTGCACAGAGACACCAATAACGCACCTTCCTCCACTTGTCCGGGTCCTTTCGGAGGCCCAGCCGCTCGCTGTTGAGGAAGTTGGCGAACTCGAGCCACTCGCGCTTCCGGTCCCGAACGGTGTACGTCGAGTCCAGCTGGGAGGTGGCCAGGTTCGGGTGCCTCTCCATGAAGTCCAGGATGAGCTCGAACTGCTTCGCCGACGTGCGCACCCGGCGCCTGGTGCCGTTCTCCGACATGGCGAGATGTGTGCGTCGCGGGCTCCTTCTTCGGAGAGATGGAGGCCAGCGGGGGACGGGGAGTTGTGTAGAAGAACCCTTCCCCGGAACAGAACGAACGTCCGTGTCGGCAGCTCGCGAGCGAAGACTCGAACGGTTCCGAAAACGCATGCAGGCGACAAGTTGCGAGAAAACTTCGTTTTCTTCCCGCAGTGTTCCATCGTTTCGTCTTCGACAAAATACTCACCGTATTTTTTATTTTTTTTTTTTTCCTTTTCACGCGCTACTTGAGTTGGTCTAACAAACCCGCAGATGAATCGTTCATATCATCAACGTTGATGATATGAACGAACCAAGCAACTGCGTTTGTGGTATAGGTGAGAACGCGGCGAGCCGATGTTTTAACGTAGAAAAGCGCTAACTTTCTTAATGACTCGGTAGATCACACAGAAAAGAATAACGGACAACGTTATGAATGTTTTCGTCGAATTTCATGTAACCACATGCAGCTATTGGCCGCTGCGCGGGTGGCGACTCGAAGAATTATCTACAGTAACTACTGACATCGACTCCTTAACACACACACACACACACACACACACACACACGAAAAAAAAAAAAAAACTAGCAACAACTAATGAATGTAATTTAAAGGGGAAGTAAAAAGCTTCACGACCGTATACTTCCGAGATACTTACACAAACATTCTTATGTGTTATCATGGCTGAACAACACCGAGTCATTTGCTCGCATCCGACAGACCTGTTTGAAAAGTGCGCGCGCTTGCTGATGAGCATGCATTGGACACAATGGCCGCGTTCGGCGTGAACTCGTCTCGAATCAACGTTACTAGAAACTCAGTTGTCAAACTGCCACAGAGCCTGCTTTGAAAACGTGACTCCGATCCGTACTCGAGAACCGAACTGAAGGCGACCGCAACGCCGCCAATTCTCCCGCAGCGGCCACTCCGGGAACCTCACGGCTGCACGTATTAGTTCCGGTTGAGTCGCGGAAGGGCCGGTGACGCCATCTCGCTGTGCCATTTCGCAGGAGCTGTATAAATCAGCTTTCACGTTTCGACTCGTCGCTAAAGGGTGGCGCTGTTAACGTATTTAGTTTGGTCTGGGTGGACGCGAGCGGTCCGGGTTTCAAGGATGAGTTTCCCAACTGAGTGGTTTAGTAACGTCAGCTCGTATTGAAAACGAATGCTGCGTCGACGTTCGGCAAGGACTCGGATCCATTCACGCACTTGTTGCTTGAGCAACGGCTATGAGAAATGGCGACCACCAATGTTGCTAGACAGACTTTTTGAAAAGGCTCCTACAGAGCTACATACGATGACTGCGCAACAAACTTTCGACCAGTTATTGACAACGTCTATTTACAAGGCGACCAGTTTATTGACAACGTCTATTTACAAGGCGACCAGTTTATTGACATCTATTTACAAGGCGACCAGTTTATTGACGTCTATTTACAAGGCGATAAATACATTATGTCCGGTCCGAAACTTTCCCGGAGGCCCGCTGAATCCTCGGGGTATGATGATTACTGGCGATGATATGACACCCAAATCACGCATGAGCGAGCCTCGTGATGAACTCGAGCAGGCACATCTGAAGGGATATCTCCATGGGACTGTTGGTGACGAAAAATCCGGGCACCCCAGCCTTCTCCAAAGTCACTTGCTGGTCGCTAACCTGAAAAAAAGAAAGAAAGAAGGAGACCGGTGCATTACTTTCCTGGAACGGAGGCCGCGGCATTTTGTTTTTCTATAAACCAATGCCTGTAGATTTTTCACGTATTGTGTACAATTGCGAATTGTACACAATTCGCAATTGAGTACAATTCCCCCCCGCCCGCCCGCCCGCCCGCCCGCCCGCCCGCCCAGAGGTTCGGGCGAGTTGGTTGCTCATAGGCGAATACCCGTGCTAACCGAGCATCTGCTAGTCGGTTAGCAGAGCCGCAGACCAGGCTGGTTTGGGCTGGATTTTGGCTTTCAACGGGTCCGTAAAACATTGAGTCATTCGATCAAGTACGGTTCGTTTATCTGTATATTTTTGATTAAAGGTGTCACCAAACAACTTACACCAAACTTTACAAAAAAAAAAAAAAAAAAAAAAAAAAAGAAAAACCGGAGCGTTTTACGAAAGTGAAACCAAATGTAGGTTGTTAAGAAGCGTTTAGGGAAAGTACACAATTTTTTTCTAGTATGCCTGGTTAATTAGTTAATGAAGACTAATTAGCTATTTTTTAATATTCGTTTAAAGGGAAAAATTGGAAAGTCGTAGAACGCATTAAAAACACCCACTTAAGGCGTTTACTACATGATACACTTCGAGCGCTCCTTTTAATTAGCCTAATATATATATATATATATATATATATATATATATATATATATATATATATATATATATATATATATATATATATATATATATATATAGAGCGCTGCAAGCGCGTCCGAGAGCGCTTGCAGCGCTCTCGGACGCGCTCTGAAGGAACGGGCGCGCTGTCTGAGACAGGGCTTTGCGGCAACGGGTGCTCGCGGCTTATCTTCGGGGGCAACCCCAACACGAAGTCCTACTCGGACCGCGCGCCCGTGATAAGGTGGACTTCGATCCTTCAGAGGACGTCTGAGCGCTGAAAAGCGCGATGCGCGGACGCGTTGTCACGTCGTCTTCTTTATATTTCGCGGGCTCTCTTTTTAGGTGAACTAAAAAAAGCGAGGTAAATGTATCATGTAGGAAACACCTTAACCGGGTGGGTACTCCCGAGGTTTTTTCATTGTCTCCGATTTGCTTGAAATTTCGCTAAACTAACCAAGAAGCACCGCTAAAATAGTATTCCAAATATTACGTCAAAAGAATTCTTTTTCGCGAAGTTATTGAATTTACAGTTTTGGTCTTCACCATGTTTTTCAATCTGAAAGTCTCTACTGGCAACAATGAAAAAGTGACGTCAGTGGAAGGCAGGGGTTCACTCTTTGGACTGTAGAATTTGTTTCCAACTGATTCGAAGTAGTTTCATGGCGTCAAATGAATGCTTTAGAAGCTCGCACCAGTACCGGCGCTCCAGCACGGAACAAATGATTGGCATATTCTATTTTTAGACTGCTTGCTCGACTGGCAAGCCTGCCTGCCACTGACGTCACGGCACTAAAAAGTGCGCGTATATTTGAATGTTGGTTTTTGCATAATTTTCATTTGCCGATTTCACAATACCTATTATGAATTTCACGATACTAAAGAGCATATCGGAAAGGCTGAGAGCCGGGGAGTTAGAAAATATAGTTTGCTGAGGTAGCTAAAAAAATCGGTAGAGTACCCCCTTTAAAGCGCTCTACAACTTTCCAATTCACACCTCGGCTCTGCAACAAATAATAATTAAAATAAACTAATTGGTCTTAATTAACTAAATATCCAGGCGGACTAAAAAATATAGTGCACTTCCCACAACACCTCTTAACAACATGAACAATATACAGTCGGTTTCACCCTCGCAGAGCGCTCCGTCTTTTTGCAAAGTTCGGCGAAAGTTATCCGGGACACGGTACGCTTATGGTCAAGAGGTCCAACGAGTCAAAAGGTCCAACGAGTCAAGAGGTCCAATAGCCACGTGACAGCCGAGTCAAGAGGTCCAACGAGTCAAAAGGTCCAATTTGAGTGAATAGGCCCAACGCGTCAAGAGGTCCAACGAGTCAAAAGGTCCAATTTGTGTCAAGAGGTTCAACGCGTCAAAAGGCCCATCGAGTCAAGAGGTCCAACACGTCAGAGGTCCAACGCGTCAAGAGGTCCATCGAGCCTTATTTTTATCTTCTCTGTTTATAATGATAATGCTATTAATGACTGCTTGCGACGGTTACTGACTGTTTGACCTATTTGAATTATTTTGGAGAATACAAGTACTACATAGCCATTGGAAACAAGTAGACAGATACTATTTGCCACAATGTATATGTATTTGAGTGTTAAATAATGGATAGTGCCTGGCGACATATTTTGGACTTGTAGAACTTAATATCTGTATTCCAGTCTCTCTGTTCTAGGACTCGTTTATCGCTTATGGTCTCAATGTCCAACGAGACTGAATGTCCAACGAGCCTGAATGTCCAATCGGTCACGTGACAGGCGAGACGGAATGTCCAACGAGACGAAAGGTCCAATCGAGACGGAATGTCCATCGAGTCTGAATGTCCAACTTGTCTGAATATCCAACGGATATAGAATGAACCTTGCAAAGAATTTAGAAGACATTCCTTTGTAGAATTGTAGGATTACTGATAGTTACGGCGGTGAGAAATGCGTTCGATGAAATGGGGAACCGGACATTTCGGTGCGGAGATATCGGTACGCGATCATTTCGGTATGTGGTCGCTTCGGCACCGGGATTTTCAGTACCGGGATTTTTGATGCACGGCTGTTTTGGTGTGCCGCTGAGCTTGTCCCACTGAAGTTGCCTCTGTGAAGTCCCCAAAATGAAATTAAAATTACGCTCGTGTATTTTGTAGACTTCATAAAACCTCAAAAACAATGCATTTATTGTTCGTTATATATATGTAAATTTAAAGATGATTTCTATAATTAAAAAAAAAAAAAAGACGTTTAAAAGGTCACACATGCTACAAGATCAAAGACCGAACTCGTTGACCCTTGACAATCTCTCACGCGTTTGATATTAGGAGGGTCGTTCCTCTGGAGCGGAAACAAATGTGGGGTCCTAGGGAGTTCTGAGAATCGTTAATCGTGCTTATCCTCAGCCACAGTTTTTCCGTATTGTACGAGTTGCTGTATTTTTTTTTTATTCGTGTCCCTAGTCCCGCAAAGATGATGTCCCTCGCATGGGAGAAAAACGCCTGATTGAATTTTTAGTATTATCATTATTGTTATGTGAAGTCGGTGTAGTATGTGTAATTACACTTAATTGTAGTTTTTGTTTTCTTCTTTTTTACAAAACGAACGTGAAAGTTTTAGACATTTCTGATTGGACTTCTCGGTCCCCAGAAACAAAAATTCGATCCTCATATCAAAATCAGTGATAGAATAGAACGTTCCTTTCATTAAGCCTTTGTGCAGGTAATGTCCTCAAGTGGTGAGCTTTTGTCCGGTGATTGTCCGGAGGATTCGGCACAGTGACGCTTATCGCGACGATTAGTTTAGCAGGCTTCGGCCACCAAACACTTGCTGTCGCAGTGAACCATGTATTAAGCAACAAGTAGGCAAGATTAATAATTAATACAATACTTTTTTAGGATTGGCTTCCGTTGTTTCTGCCTTTTCTGGTCACGTGGCATGCAGCAATCGCACCGATACGCGCCCAGGTAGCATACGAAGGCTGCGATCGGATTTCAACTGGTTCTAACTCTGTCACAGAGCCGCTGCGACAGTGCGGCCGTGATTTATTCATATGCGCACATTACAAGTGCACATATGACCACGGTATCAGGAAGTCAGCCCCTTGCTCGGTCTTCCCAAATTCCATAATGCTAGAGTTGCGAGTGAACATATTCACGAAGAACCCGACTTTTATAGTTTTGAATAACCCGGGTACGATTCACTATCGGACCCTTGCCAATTCTGAGAGCTGCATTTGTCATCCTCTCTTTTTTTGGAAAGGTGGCAGTGGCGTACCAACTTGTTTTTGAGTGGGGGGGCAAACCAGACCCTCTCCCCCCCCCCCCCCCCCCCCCCAAATCGAAAATTCGGCGCAACTTTTGTCCAACTTTTCTAAAGATTTGGCAATGATTTGGCAAAATTACAACGTTACCAGACTTAACATTGATATTTTGTTTTTTCTCACGAAAAAAATTTTGCTTCTTCTTCTTAAAATAAATACAACTTGTAGTGCCTATTGAAAGAGTTATGACTAAATAAGGTGATATTCTAGAAGATAATTGTATCGATGTCGCTTTTGTGTGTTTACTTGTAATTTTGGTGTATGTTTCCAGAAAGTGGCGTGACAACGAGGTTGGGTAGTAGCCGGCACAGTCACGAATCACACTACGAGAGCTTTGATTTTGAGGCTTCATCAGCGCACGCCTGCAAGTGTGTTTACATTGTTAAAATAAAGGCAATCACTGCGTTCTTACTTTCACTGGTAGTCGCCGTTTCGTGCGCGAAAACGGATGCAACGGTTGCTGAGCCTTCACCAGAAGAGATAACAATATTGTAAATATGCATGTTTTTCGATTTGAGTCACTTGACGTCAGCTTTGCATGAAAGTGCGCGTTCCATATTCGCAACGTGCCGTTTTTAACCTTTAAAATTCCGGTTTCTGGTGTTCGGACACACACGGACGTTTAGGAAGATGGGGAGAGTTAGGAATGGTCGGATGTGCAACGTCGACCATGATAGTTCTGTGTTTAACGAATGTTTTTCATCAGTGTTTACTAACGAGTGCTGGACTCCGTCCCCAGTCTCCCTGAAGAGCTTTACGAGCGCATGCATCCTATTAACGTTAACTCCGCCGGTATTATAACATTGATTGATAAACTAAAACTTACTTCGTCCGCTGGAACCGATAACATCAACTCTAAAATTTAAAAGAAACACCAGTGTTATTTCGAGTGAGTATTTAAAACTTATCTTTATTCAGTCCTTATCTCAAAGGTGCCTTCCATCTGACCAAAAGGTGGGAAGGGTAATTCCCAGTCTTTAAACAGGGCAGCCGCTCTTCCGCATCTAATTATCGCCCTAAT